ACCATCTTCATCTTCTTTCCATTGTTTCTTTTAGTTTGTGAGCTTATCCTTATTTCTACTTCTTGTGAAAGCTAAAAACACTGCATATAAGAACTTCATCATGGCCTCAGAGCCTAGTTCGATCATTTGAGATCTGGGCGTAACAATCAATCGAGCTACACTTGAGCTCGTTCCAGATTGAGCGACGTTGCCGGAATTTCGTAAAACCCGATTTCGATTTGTGTCCGCATCATCAAAAGCTCGAAGATGGCTGGATCTGGAAGTTCTGAGGTGAGAACTCCGATCTTCTCCGGTGAGAACTACGAGTTCTGGAGAATCAAGATGGTGACGATATTTAAATCTCATGGGTTATGGAAATTAGTTGAAAAAGGGATTACGATCTCGGAAACAAAGAAGAAGAAGAAGGCTGAAGGAAGCTCAGAGGAAGAAGAAGACGATGAGAAAATGGTCGCAGCATATATGCAGGATGCAAAAGCTCTGGGTATTATCCAGAACGCAGTCTCAGATCAGATATTCCCTAGAATAGCCAATGCAGATTCTGCGAAGATGGCATGGGATCTGTTATATGGTGAGTACCATGGTGGTGATCAGGTAAGATCTGTGAAACTACAAAATCTGAGACGTGAATTTGAGTATGCTAGGATGCGTGATGATGAAACTCTGTCTGGGTATCTTACTAGGCTAAATGAATTGATCAATCAGATGAAAACATTTGGTGAGATTCTGTCTAATGAAAGGCTTGTACAGAAAGTTCTCATTAGTCTCAGTAAACCATATGATCCCATATGTCTAGTTATTGAAAATACCAAGTGCTTAGAAACTGTAGAACTGCAGGAGGTTGTAGCAATTTTGAAGAGTCAAGAACAACGATTTGATTTGCATAGTGTTGATGTCACTGAAAAGGCTTTTGCCTCATTCTCTGTGAGTTCAAAAGGACAAACTAGTGGAAATGCTCAATCTGGTACATTCAAATCCTATAAGCACTTGAATTCGAAGGGAAAGAAATGGGAATCTAGGCCTAAGTTTCAACAGAGGTCATTCACTAATCCTACACAGCACTCAAACTCTTCTGGGTATGTGAAGCAAGATGCAGTTAAACCACAGTGTAGAGTGTGTCTCAAATTCCATTCTGGTGAATGTAGATATAAGGGGAAACCTAAGTGTTATAATTGTGATAAATTTGGTCACTGGGCTAGAGAATGCACTGTAGGGAAGACTGTGCAAAAGGCAAACTCTGCAAATCAGGTGGAAGTATCAGGGAATTTGTTCTATGCAAACAGTGCGATCTCAGAGTCAAATGTAAATGGAAACTGGTATATTGATAGTGGTTGTAGTAACCACATGACAGGGGATGCTAATCTGCTTGTCGACATAAAGACCAATGTTGCTGGACAAGTGCAAATGCCTACTGGTGTGTTAGTGAATGTTGCTGGAATGGGTTCATTGGAAATAGACACTAATAGAGGCAAGAAGTATATCAGGGAGGTTATGCATCTGCCAGGATTAAAGGAAAACTTACTGAGTGTTGGGCAAATGGATGAGCATGGATACTATCTCTTGTTTGGAGGAGGCTTGTGCAGTGTATTTGATGGACCTTCTCTTGATAATCTTGTGATCAAAGTTAAGAAGAAGGAAAACAGATGTTATCCCCTTTCTCTGTGGAAAAACAGCCAACTTGTTCTGAAAGCTAGCACCGATTCAAATCCTACCTGGATTTGGCACAAGAGATTAGGACATCTAAATCTCAGGAGCCTTAAACAACTCAGAGAAAATGAAATGGTACATGGTCTTCCACATCTTGAAAACATTGATGGTGTATGTGAAGGGTGCCAGTTTGGAAAACAACATCGTGACTGGTTTCCAAAAGAGAAAGCTTGGAGAGCAAGCAGTCCTTTAGAGCTTATACACACTGATTTGTGTGGTCCTATGCAAACTGAATCCATTGCTGGGAATAAGTACTTTATGCTTCTCATTGATGACTATACAAGAATGTCATGGGTTTACTTTCTAAGACAAAAATCTGAGGCTCTAACTTGTTTCAAGAAGTTTAGAGCCATGGTAGAATTACAGAGTGGTTTCAAAGTAAAGTGTCTAAGAAGTGACAGAGGAGGTGAGTTTGTATCAAATGAATTCAACCAATTCTTAGAGGCTGAAGGAATACAAAGACAACTTTCTATGGCCTATACTCCACAGCAAAATGGAGTAGTGGAGAGGAAGAATAGAACAGTTGTAGAGATGGCTAAGGCAATGCTTCATGATAAAAGCATGCCATATTTTCTGTGGGCTGAGGCAGTGCATACAGCAGTGTACATTCTAAACAGATCACCTACAAAAGCACTGGATAATCTGACACCATTTGAGGCATACAGTGGCAGAAAACCAGGAATTGGTCATCTAAAAGTATTTGGATCAATCTGCTATGTGCATATACCATCTGAAATGAGACAGAAACTAGATGCCAAGAGTGTCAAATGTGTGTTCGTTGGATATGCTACATGTGAGAAGGGATACAGAGTGTTTGATCCATGCACTAAGAAATTAATTCTTTCAAGAGATGTAATTTTTGAGGAAACAATGACCTGGAATTGGAAGGAACATTCAGAGAACTCTGTTGCTGTGACCCACATTCAGAATTCACATGGATTGGGTGAGATTCAAGGCTGTGCCTCCAGTTCCTCTACATTTTCTCATAGTGAAGAACAAGAAAGCAGCATTCAAGAAACTGTTGAGACTCCTCAGTCTTATGATCATACTCCAGTGAAATGGAAAAGCATAAATGAGATTATGGCACAGTGCAATGTGTGTATTGTGGAACCTGAAAAATTCGAAGAAGCTGCTCAAGATCAAGCTTGGATAAAAGCTATGGAAGAAGAACTGACTATGATTGAGAAGAATAGAACTTGGGAATTGGTGGATAGACCAAGTGATAAACATGTTATTGGGGTGAAATGGGTATTCAAAACCAAGTTGAACTTGGATGGATCAGTACAAAAGAACAAGGCACGACTAGTTGCAAAGGGGTATGTGCAGAAACCAGGAATTGATTACAATGAGACTTTTGCTCCGGTTGCTAGACTAGATACAATCCGGACTTTGATAGCTCTTGCTGCACAGAAAAGTTGGAAACTATATCAACTCGATGTTAAATCTGCATTTCTGAATGGACAACTGCAGGAAGAAGTCTATGTTGACCAACCCGAAGGATTTGTGATTAATGGCAAAGAAGATAAAGTCTACAGATTGTATAAGGCTCTGTATGGATTGAAGCAGGCACCTAGAGCCTGGTATGGAGAGATTGATAGTTATTTCACTCAGTGTGGATTCATAAAGAGCTTGAGTGAAGCAACTCTTTATACTAAGACAAGGGGAGATAAGGATATCCTAATTGTTTCTATCTATGTTGATGACATAGTATACACTGGAAATAACCAGGAGATGCTGAATGAGTTCAAAGAAGACATGAAAGATAAATATGAGATGACAGATCTCGGGTTGCTTCATCATTTCTTGGGGATGGGGGTTATACAAACAGATACTAGCATTTTTATCCATCAAAGGAAGTATGCTTCTTCCTTATTGGATAAATTTGGTCTGAAGGAGTGTAAACCTGTTCCCATACCTCTCATTGCTTCTGAGAAATTAAGTAAAGATGATGGAAGTGGTGCAGCAAATGAGGAGCAGTATAGGAAGATTGTAGGAAGTCTGTTGTACCTCACTGCCACAAGGCCGGATATAATGTATGCAGCTAGTTTATTAGCTAGATATATGCATTGTCCTACCAATAAACACTATGGAACAGCTAAGAGAGTGCTCAGATATGTTAGGGGCACATTGGACTATGGTTTGAAGTATGAAAAAGGCAAGAAGGCAGTCTTAATTGGTTTTTGCGATAGTGACTGGGGAGGATCTCTTGAAGACAGCAAAAGCACCTCAGGCTATGCATTTTCTTTTGGAAGTGGAGTGTTCTCATGGGCCTCTGTGAAACAACACTGTGTTGCTCTTTCTACTGCAGAAGCCGAGTATATCAGTGCTTCTGAAGCCACAGCTCAGGCCATATGGCTCAGATTTGTTCTGGAAGATTTTGGAGAGTTACAAGTTGATGCAACCCCTCTGCAGTGTGATAACACATCTGCAATCTCAATATCCAAGAACCCTGTGTTTCACCAGAAGACAAAACACATTGACAGGAGATATCACTTCATCAAGGATGCCTTGCAGCAAGGGATAATTGACTTGGTTTACTGTCCTACCAAAGAACAAGTGGCAGACATTTTCACCAAGGCATTACCAAAGGACAGATTCAACTATCTCAGGGACAAACTTGGAGTTATAACAGCTCAAAGCTTAAAGGGGAGTGTTAGTGTATAAGCTATTGAGCTTACATGAATATTAGAAGTAAATAAGTCTTGTGTCTAATTGTGTATTCACTTTGGTAATTAAACCAAGTGTAGAGGTCATATTGTAAAAAGGTTAACAGGTGTAAAGATCTCCTTGTGTCCATTTTGATGTGTGGCAGAGATCAGTCCCTTTCTATTATGTTTTGTAACCCAACCGTTTTGCACAGTGTGTGCGTGTGAAGAATTCATATATACAGTTTTACTCTCTGTACAAGTTAACAGAGAGAGCACTACCATCTTCATCTTCTTTCCATTGTTTCTTTTAGTTTGTGAGCTTATCCTTATTTCTACTTCTTGTGAAAGCTAAAAACACTGCATATAAGAACTTCATCAAAAAAAACAGCACGTGGGAGCCAACGAAGGAAAACCCTCCAAGTTGCAAAACAATCGGGCAAGGGATTAAACACCGTAGGTCCATTTTTCATGGCATCAAGCAAGGACAGCTGACGAAGGCCCATAAGCTGCAACCTGTCACCTGAGAGCGTGAGCCAAAAATCCATACACGGTACACCGATGTCGAACCCAATGGGAGAAATATCATGCTTCAGAGACTTACTTAACAAGGAATCACTTGCAATTAAATCACAAGAACTGGGAGCCGGACTAGTGAATACCATCAGTCCTTTGAACTTTAGGATCTCTATGTACAAAGAAGCTCGCAGCAACGATAATGTAGCAAAGAATGAGCATCAGTCCTTTGAAGTAATTAGATGTTCCCTCCTGCAAGTTCAAATGCAATCCATTCATACGCATTATGTATAGGATAAGTAGTCGCTGCAGTGCTGATACAAGGAAACAAATTCATGTCTTTCTATTGCATTTGTGCCACGAAAAGATTTATGGTTTGTTTGAATGACGAACCTGCAGCATGAAGGCTACCACCAGAACAGTTATGAAAAGTGTCGCTGTCTCAAACAATTGGAAATCTAAGTCCATAGGGCACCCCATGAACCACCCAACCACCACACAAAACGGAATCTGCAGAATCCAGGAAAAACGGAAAACTGTTGAGCAAGAAAGAAGAACGGACAAATTATATGAAAGCATGAACAGAATCAACACGACACCACATATATGTACCAAAAAAACAAATCATAGTAAATGTCAGTCTAAATACATATGATATTTGGTACTCACTCCAAACATAGATATCAGAGTTGATGAGCCAATTGCCACTCCTAAAGTTATATTCTGCACGAAACATTGAGACAAAGTCAACAAGGAATGATAAATCATGAGTGATTATACCGATAGGACAATCACTTACAAGCTTGTCTTTCATGGCGAACATAACAGCACCAGCATGCTCTTTGCAACAGATGCACCCTGGAAAAAAAAAAATACAGAAACACAAGACATTCCTCACAACAAACCCCACAAAAATACTATAAAATTTTCAAATCATCTAAAATTGGAGGTATAAATATTAGGATGAAAACTCTAGTACGATAAGACAATGATCTAACAAGATGAATTACCTCTATAGCATTAACTAAATATTCTGAGAGGACTGAAATCACCACGGTTAGAATTGATAGCCATATTATGGATTCCCACTTAGAGATCTCGGGAGCCTCTTCATCATCTGAATTTTCTTCGGTGTGATTCTCTGACTGGTTTTGTACCAAATTCATATAAACCATTAGATCACATATAGGAGAAAGTGCACAAACTCCACTTAATCAAATTCATCACACACTTGAACAGTGAAAGCAAAGGAATTAGTAACACAGTTTGAGGTCCTTATTGGCAAAGACTTGTACGAACCTGATCAACTGGAATATATAAATTCTGCTGGCTTCTCAATTGAAAAAACAGATATGAAGCATAGGCGACGAGCATAATGCAGCTAGTGAATCTCGAAAGAGATAACTCAGACTTCCCCATAGTGCAACTCTGTCCGAGTAGAGTGCAGTACTGCTGGAAAGAGCAGACCCATGACCGCCATCAATAGCAATCCAGAGTTCACTCCAGAAGTTGCCTGAGAATATAGAAACTTTGAACTTTAGTTGCTAGAAAAAGATATGGAAGACCGAATACAAAAATAAAACCAAATAAACAAAGCACTCTATTTTCACAGACGAAATATACCTTGTTGAACACTTGCTCCCTCTGTGAATGCACAAGTCCACCAGCAAAGAATGCGCATCCAAGCACAAGCAACATGTTTGATAGGATTGAGCCTAGTAAGGATTGTTGAACAACACGAATCATGCCTCTTTTCAGAGCATAAATTGATATTATCAATTCTGTTGCGTTTCCAAAGGTGGCATTTAAAAGATCTCCAACTGCAGAATTAAGTCATGATTGGAGTTATGGGTAACATTTTTGGATCAACAAAATGGATACTAATTGTAAAGTTAGTGCAACCGCTTTCAAATTTTAGGGTGAAATGTGAAAGGAAACATGTGATGCAGGTGAAGTACCGGTTGGATGAGGAAATTTTAGTGCTCAAACCAAACTTAAAAGCTATATGAAGACTTGTGGAATCTGGCATTGATCAGTGACTCAAGCTTCAAGCTTTATGAAGACTTATGAAATGGAAAAAACGGATATTTGCATTAACAACATGCTTACCTGTTGGTCCAGTATAGCAAGCCAGTTGCCTGCATCAAAAGAAGCCAAGCTGTATTAGGAACTCAATAATGCATATTGATTGCAAGGTAAGTTGATATGGACTTCCGTCTCAAGTGCTCGCAGATTAAACCCTAATACGCTAAAACACTAACAAATGTTGTTTTCTAATACATCAAGTTAACTGGATAGCTGTTCAGACATGGCTGTTGGATTCCACTCGTAACATTTCTGTTTGTAAACAAAGAGTATACAAAGAGAGTGAAAGAAATCTTACTCCGTTGCATATCCTAATCGCTCAGCCAAAGGTATGATTCCCAACAAGCTTAAAAGAAAGACCCAACCCTGAAATGCTTTGAAAGAATCAAATAAACTAGGCATACAATCGTGTGATGATCCGAGACCTTCGCACGCAGAAAAAGATAGTGAAAACTCACATGATGGCCGGTTAATTTATCAACCACGATTGCTAAAGGGCCAAAAGGCATGAGCAAATTAATTTTGGCAGAGAAAACTACAATCCTGATGCTATCGACCACACTATTCTTCATGACATGGGGACAACAGTCATTTGCACCACCAGAATAAAGATCCCTGAGGGGAGCCTCATCCAATGAATGTTTCTCACCCCTAACTAGGCTCTGATCCTCGAACTCAAACACTGATTTGGGCTGTGTTGATCCCAACTGTGGAGCCGAAATCTTTGTTACCGAAGATTATCACTGCTACCAAAAGAAAATGCCTTTGATACCATATATAGCTAAAGAATTTATAACTGACCTCAGCATGGGAATTGATTTTTATTTTAGCTGCATCGTTGTTCCTACCATCGTTGCCGTTGTTGTTGTTGTTGTTGTTGTTGTTGTTGTTGTAACGGTTATCAGAATACATGAGGTGGAAGTAAAAACTCTATGCCAAGAAATCAACAAGAATTCCATCTCCAAACACGGGCATCGCTACTTCATCACATTCTCCACAATCAACACACATACATACAATGATAGAAATCAATTAACATGAGATCTAAAAAATGTATGCCTATACATACACATAACATCTATGCATAGACACCCTACCTGTTTTTAATAAAGCCCATATTGCAGACCTGGGCGTAAGCAAGTTTATTAGTGCAGCGTGCTCCCCTTCAGCACCCAAATTCAACTTCGAATACCCCTCCCCGTTCTTTACTCTAGATTAAAATATCCCTTGAATCAGAATAAATCCCAAATGATTTTTTTTTTTTTGTCAAGAACATGAATTTAACAATCCTAATAAAAAAATATCACGCATCAATATACATACATACATACATATATGTATATATATTTGTATATTTATGTATGTATTCTTTACCTGTTTCTAACAAAACCCTAATGAAATTTTGGATAAGAACCCCAACAAACAAAACAAGAACCAGAATTATGGAAAGTAAAGAACTAACCTTGTGGTATAATGGAATTGCATATATATATATATATATATATGCGTGTTTATATATAGATTCTCCAATGTGAACCCTAAAAAATCAGACCCAAAAGAACATGCATGAGAAATGTACTTTTTGTCTAGAAAAGTTCTGGGATTCCTTCCAAAGTAAACAAAAAGAATGGAAGGCAGAAGAAAAAAACAAAGGAGGTAGCTATTAAGTGCAAATTTGCAAATTGATGGTTTTGATAAAAGTGGAAATTAAACAGCTTTGACAGATATTGATACGCGAAATGTGATCCACAGCCATCTGAGGGAAACCCGCCATTTTCTCCCCAGCAAATATTAGTATCTCTCCTTTCCTATTTTCAGACATGCAAATGCAATGGTTTCTTTCTTCCTTTCTTTTGTTTTTCTTTCAACTGTGAACACGAAAGTTCCTTGAAACAAGAAACAAGAATAACGTGTACAAAATAATATTTTTTGATTTGATGATTTTGGGGTTACGATCTCTCACAAATTTGGTCCTCTGATTCTATCTTCGTAGGGTGTAGGTTTGTGGATGAGTTGTTGATCCAAAGGGCTGTCGGAGCCTGATCTAAGGATGAACAGTTGATGAACGGATGAACACTTTCTTCAAGGGCCGTCGGGGCTTGATCTTGAATAATGGTTGTGTGGATTTCTTCAAGGGCTTTTGGGCTTGATCTTGAAGGTTGATGGATGAGCGGATCTTCAAGGGCTTTTGGGCTTGATCTTGAAGGTTGATGGATGAGCGGATCTTCAAGGGCTTTTGAACTTTAAGGCTTCAAGGTTTTGGTGTGTGGGTTTGTTGAGGTTGTTGATCCAAAGGGCCGTTGGGGCTTGAGCTTAGGATAAACGGATGATGAATGATGAACGCTTTCTTCAAGGACCGTTGGGGCTTGATCTTGAATAATGGTTGTGTGAATTTCTTCAAGGGCTTTTGGGCTTGATCTTAAAGGTTGATGGATGAGCGGATCTTCAAGGGCTTTTGGGCTTGATCTTGAAGGTTGATGGATGAGCGGATCTTCAAGGGCTTTTGGGCTTAATCTCGAAGAACGATTGGATGTGTGGATTTGTTTGTGCTGTTGATCCAAAGGGCCGTTGGGGCTTGATCTTAGGATGAACGTATGATGAACAATGAACACTTTCTTCAAGGGCCGTCGGGGCTTGATCTTGAGTTGGTGGAAGTTCTTCTAGGGCCGTTGGGGCTTGATCTTGAAGGAGGATTTGACGAAGAACGAAGAGTGCTTTCTTGATCCTTCGGGATTTTCTTGAGAGCTTTAGAACTTTAAGGCTTCAAGGTTTTGGTGTCTGTATTTGTTGATGTTGTTGATCCAAAGGGCCGTTGGGGCTTGATCTTAGGATGAACGGATGATGAATGATGAACACTTTCTTCAAGGGCCGTCGGGGCTTGATCTTGAAAGAGGATTTAACGAAGAACGAAGAGAGCTTTCTTGATCCTTCGGAATTCTTGGGAATTTGGATGGTTGGAAGCTTTGGAGTTTCAAAGCTTCAAGGATTTGGGGAATTCCTCTTCTAATTTTGGGAGTAGAGAAATGTATTTGTGAATTCCTTGATGCTTGATACCTTGATAGAGAAGCCTATTTATAGGCTTTGAGAATGAATCACCACCACAAAAATATTTTTTTCCTTTCCAAGCACCATTGCCTAATTTTCTCACTTAATGCAATATTGAAATTGAAGTGGTGTAACTTATGGCCTAATTTCCCACTTAATACCATTTTAAACTTGAAGTGGTGTAACTTATGGCCTAATTTCCCACTTAAAACCATTTTAAACTTGAAGTGGTGTAACTTATGACCTAATTTCCCACTTAACACCATTTTAAACTTGAAATGTGTATGCTTTGTCATTGCCCAAATGAGAAAAACTTGCTTTGATCCGTAATGGATTGAAGTGTGCTTGCCTTGTCATTGCCCAACATGAGAAGAAAAACTTGTTTTGATCCTCAATGGATTGAAATGTACTTGCCTTGTCATTGCCCAAAATGAGAAGAAAAACTTGTTTAATCCTTCAAGGGTATTTCTTCCTATTTTGTTGAGTCACACGCCATGTGTACAATTTGTACAACACGTGGCGTATGCCATGTATGCCTTGACACGTCAAAACTTTAATGCACTGGTGAACATTTGTTTTACTGAAATTTCGATGTCTACAAATGCCCCCACTTCAAGGCACGTCGTAGACATGTGCTTGGCACGTGTAGAAGATGCGTTTTGAAGTCCCTTAATGTAGATGTCAACCCAAGGGCCGTCGAGGCTTGATCTTGAATTGGGCTGGAAATTTCTTCAAGGGCCATTGAGGCTTGATCTTGAGTTCGATTGGAAGATTTTCTGGTTTCCTCCAATCGTTGATTTTCCACAGGCTTAGTCTTGAACTGGGCTGGAGGATTCTTTTGGTCTCCCCCGAAGGCCTGAACTTACTCCTTTTATCTGGAGTTGAATTTGATTCAAGGGTGGTGAACACTTGATTTTGAGTCGGGCTTGTGATTTCTTCAAGGGCCATCGAGGCTTGATCTTGAATTGGGCTGGAGGATTCTTTTGGTCTCCCCCGAATGTCTGAACTTACTCCTTTTATCTGGAGTTGATTTTGATTCAAGGGT